GCGATAAATTGCGAAAGAGTATTGAGGAAGATTCCATGGACGAAAACGACATATCGAGCGAAATTAACGCATGGACCAAGGAACTAGAGGCAAACAATCATAAGGCTAAAGAACTTTTCTCAGATACTCATCCAAATTTGATAAAGACGGCACAAAATGGTTCTAACACTTGATTTGAAAAGTGGTTACTGGCAAGTGAAGATAAACAGAAGGTATGTGGCATTTCCACAACAGCCGGTTCTGCCGTACCGGAATTGACCGGATTTTATCCGGCCAAGGGCTGTTATTTCGGCGATCTAACCCTGTTTGGATCGGTGAGTTTAGATTAAGTTTGTCGTCATTTGAGCAACGCCTAGCAGCAGGGTTGCTCCATATCCTCCTGACCCGTGCTGGCATCGAGTCCAACCCGGGCCCTGAGGAATTTACTGCTGCATTTGCGCTAAAAGCTCCATCCAAACTCCACCTCGGTTAGGTGAAATACATGCAATGGATGGAGCCAACTTAAGACCTGTTCAGGCCTTAAGACACCAGATGGACCACAAGTTACGTGGCCCCATCTGTCAACGCAATTATGCGACATCTGCCTCAACGGCTGTGCAACCTGCACCATGCTCGCGCACTGCCTGCCACTCCAGTCGAGTGGCCAAGATAGGACCTCCACGGTCCTAAGGAGCTCACACAGACAGCATGACTCCCAGTCTGACCAACCTCCTCCCCAACCTTCATCCAGCTCCAATCCTCGTGCGAGAACCACCAGCACTCCTGGTTCCTTGCACAGGTCTGTTCCGTGTGTCAGACCACAATACGCCGGAATGTCACATCAGTCAAGTGCAATTCTTGCACTGGCTGGTTCACTTTCTGTCGTGTTCTGGTCTGCGCACCACACGAGATGGAGTGCGTCGTACGTTGCCCCATGCTGTGAGTCTGCCCCGCAATCACATACAGTGGCGTCGCCAATCAACACCACAGTCGACAACCGCCCATGCGGATAATACAGCTGCAACAACCACCACCTACACGCCCCACTCACCCTAGGATCACGACTGGACACCCGGACAAACGCGACTCTTACAATTCAACTGCAACGGACTCCAGAGTAAGATCGAGGAGATAGTTGCATCATGAGCCGGAGCGCGTAACGATAGCTGCGGTCCAGTTAAACAGCCGCTCAGATCTTCTGAGTTGTGCAGGTTTCAACGTTTACGTAAGGTTCGCGAGCGAGATAATGGGGCCTAGCCTTCATATTGCAAACACCGTGCAGTATTATCGATGTTGACATCGACCGTAGGGACACTACCCTAGAATGTCAGGTATAGCTGTCCGGTCAGGCGATGTCGAGCTCAAATATTTAATATGTACATCCCCCAGTTACATGTTGCCCAATAGGAGTCACCCGAACCAGATGCGCTACTTCGTGGTGAAACCGTTTGGTGCTAGGCGACTTTAACGCGCATCACGATCTTTGGCATTCCTGCCTGTCAAACGATCGTAGGGGATGGAGCTGGCGGAACAGATAGACGATTTGACATTCTGCACAATGAATGACGAACCCCACCAGAATTATGGGCACCTATAATAACTCGCCAGATATTACCATCGCTAGCGGTGGTCTGATAAATAGTATAACCTGGCGACCTATGCTAACTCTTGCATCAGACCATCTGCCCATATTTATCTCGATCGAGAAACCTCCTGACTTTATTTCTGTGGACAACCGGACTTATATTAACTTTAACAAAGCTAACGGGTCGCCTTCACAGAATTTACTGAGAGCCAACGCACCTATCCATTCCTACGGACGTCATCGTTGGCGAGCGTCAATTACGCAAGGTGATCGCTGCTGCTACTGCTCGCTTCATACCGGCTGGAAGAATCGCGGAACTCCGCCCAAATTTCCCAGCCGAAGCAGCTGTATTAGCAAACGAGCGCGACACCTTACGCCATGCCGATCCCTGTGATCCCCGAATAAGGGATCTCAATTTGGGGATTCGGCAAATGGTAAATCATCATAAGCGGACAAATGGATAGAGCACCTGAAGTCCTGACCTCTCCACCGGTGAGTAAGCTTTGGACTACTGTCAAGCCTGTCAAATCCGAGAAGACATGACGATCGGGTTGAAATTCAATTCGATGTCATGCCTCCTCGACCCGAAGAAGTGCGCGAGCTATTTCAGCCGACTTTACACTGCACCCTTCGACTGACAAGGCCAAACGACGTGTTACCCGACGGCTGCGCAAATGCCAAAGACTGCGCACCACTTACTTTCACCGATGGGGAGGTTCAGAGTGTCATCAAAAGGCGAAATCGTCATATCCATTGGCCCTGACGGAATAAGCATGCTGATGTTAAAACACCTAGGCCCAACGGGAGTAAATTATCTCACCAAGGTCCTCAACCTGTCGATATCCACTCTTCAATACCCGATGTGTGGAAAGTCGGAAGAGTGGTCCCACTACTGAAACCTGGAAACCCGCCAACAAAGGGAGTCTTATCGCCCGATAACTCTCCTTTCCCAGTAGTGAAGACACTGAGGCCTGTTACTCCCTCATTCACTCACCTCCTGAGCCTAGCAGATCATCAGCATGGCTTGCGTAAAGTGCACAGCACCCCACAGCACTTAGCGTCAGATAGTGTCATGGCCTGAACCAGAAGCCACCCTGCGAGGACGATCCTCGTAGCGTTGGACTTGTCAAAAGCTTTGACACAGTCAATCACACAACGCTACTTGAGGACCTAGAACAATCAACGACTATGAACTACCTAAGCGGTCGGCATTCATCCGTATGTTTCGAGGTCAAAATTCCAAACTTAGGAAAATTAAACAGTGGGTTCCGCAGGGCGGTGTCCTCTCCCTCTACTGTTTAATTTTTATATTTCGAAACTCCCCCAGCCACCAGCGGGAATTTCAGTGACCTCGTACGCTGATGACTGTACGATATTGACGTCGGGAAATGGAATCGATGGCATGTGTTCAAAAGTAAACAGCTACCTCTCCGATCTTTCTCGCTTCCTCTCTGCAAGGAGCCTAACACTCTCTCCCACTAAATCCACAGCGACCATCTTCACAAATTGGACGAAGGAGTACAGACTGGACCTGAATATTTCAGTCGATGGCACAAAAATTCCGGCAGTAAATAATCCTAAAATTTTAGGCGTTACATTAGACAGTATGTGCTCCTTCACTCCTCACACGACCGCGATAACTGCCAAAGTACAGAGCCGCAACAAAATCCTCAAGTCGCTTGCCGGCAGCTCTTGGAAAAAGACAAAGAAACGTTGTTGGCAACATACAAGGCAATCGGCCGGCCGGTCCTAAATTACGCAGCCCCAATATGGTCGCCTGGATTCAGTGACACGCAGAAAAAGAAGCTACAGACCTGTCAGAACACTGCACCCCGAACTATCACGGGATGCCTCTTGATGTCTCCAATCGAACACCTACATAGTGAGGCCGTATGCTTCCGGTTAAGGAACACAACGAACTCCTCTCCAAGCAGTTTCTACTGGGGTGTTTTCGTAGAAGGGCCTCCCGTTAGATGACCTCGACGACAACGAATCTGGAACTTATCACCCAAACGGGGACTAGGTAACCGTTACAACAACAACAACAGAAGGTAAGTTGTTTAATTATGCGCCACCTTGCTTAGCACTCACCTTTTTTACTTTATATTAAATTTTTTACCTTAAGTTCACTAACGAATTGGTTTTTTATGTTTTTTAAATAATTTCACAACTTTATTTCGCAAAGAATTAAATTCATTAACAAATTGTGCTTTTTTATGTTTTTTAAATAACTTCACAATTTTATTTCGCAAAGAGTTTTAAATATTTAACAGGTCGCGTTGGGTTGGTGTGGAATGTGTGTGGGATGATGTGTTGAAATTCGTTACTCATTTAACCATAAGGAAATGACGGCTTTCAGCGTTGGAGAGGGGAAATTTACTATAACGGCCTTTGGATTATGTAATGCTCCTGCTACCTTTGAGAGACTTATGGACCAAGTATTAAAAGGATTGCACTGAAAGGCATGTTTGGTTTACTTCGACGATATCATCGTGTTGGATAAAAGCTTCGATGAACACCTTAAGAACTTGGAAGAGGTTTTTCTTTTCAAAAAGAAAGTTCATAAGTTCCTTTATGGCAAGCGATTTTGGGGGAGAACCGATCATGCAGCATTTAAATGGCTTCTGCAATTCAGAAACGCAGAAGGACAGTTGGCACGGTGGATTGAGAGACTTAAAAATCACGACTCCTTATAGAACATCCCAAAGGCAGTAGTGATCGAAATGCAGATGCGATTTCCGCCGCCACAATGGGAAAGAAAAAGTGGGCAAAGTACCCGAGCTCTGAGGATTGTTGCGAAAGTAAGAATGCTCTTAACGAACTGCAAAACTGTCCAAGTGGAGGATACATGGCCATCACTAAAACTTTGTAGAAATTAAAACAAAGATTTTATTGAATTGGTTGTCGTTAATCAGTTACGAAGTGGATCGCCAATTGCTGCTAAAGGCCCGAGGTCCAGGAGTCACGGTCAGATAAAGTACAATTTGGGTGCGCATTCTGATGTGCCAGATTGGTATTCGGAAACTCCGTACATCTGCACTACATTCGCAGTCCGATGGTATGGTAGAACGATTCAATCGAACTTTGGAAGAACATTTGAGGAAAGTTGTGGACAAGTATCAGAAAGATTGGGATACCCATATATCCTTGTTCCTAATGGCTTATCGGTTTGCTATACATGAAACAACATGGCAGACTCTAGAAAGGGTAATTTCTGGTAATGATCTTTGACTACCGATTGATTTGAAATTTGGAATTAACGTCATGGGAGGAAGCAATGCTAAGGAAGTCAACAGCATCCTAGAAGACATTATGAGCGATAAAATGAAAGCAAAAATGATAAGCAATGAACTCTGAGGGTTTTATTGAAGAAGATTAGGTTTTTTTATGTAACCCACAACGAAAGAAGGGGCTACACTCTTGAGTTCAATCACTGGATTGTTAAATAAAAGTCCCAATTCAATGGCTATGAGAGATTAAGTTAGATCACTTCGATGACAACCAAGCGGAGATTAGATAACAATTAGTGTCATGTATAACTTTTATATGAATTACATAAAAATTTGTTTTTATATATTCCTTAAGAAATATCTGACTGGAATTATTATATTTATGCAAAGTGAGAGGTAAATAGCCTCTTTTCAAAGCGAGGTATTAGTTAAGTTTGTGTGTACTGTGGAAAGCAGTTCCCAAAAATTTAAAAAATACGGAAAGTCGAGAAGAGGGTTCTCATGTACATACTATGTTTATGAGCACATGATAAAAACATATTTTGGGTCTTTCCGTAGAAAGATTGAAACAACTTCTAATTTTTTTTCAAAATAATTTACATATCTAGCAGTGTTCCTCTTGCTTTCTTTACAACTTGTGCTTCGTCCGTCTTATTACGTAACGCTAAGTCTGTCAACTTTCCACCCTTTCGCTGCAGTTGCTTCTCTATAATTTTTGCATTATTTGCGTAACTATCTGCAATTTCACGCTATATAAAAAGAAAATAACATATGTTTAAAAATAATAATAAAAAAATTAAGCAATTTCCTTACAGCTTCAATTTCATCCTCTTCTTCGTCAATGGTTGATACGGTAACTGAACTGAATTTCCCCATGTGCTTTGTATGGCGGGTTACCATAATTTTTTCGCTAGTACCAAATCCAACACCCTCAACACATGAATCGGCTGTCATTACTTCTTCTGACTCAAGAAAATTTTCCGTTTTCTTGCGAACTAACGAGCCTCGAATAATAAATGTAACATCAGATGCTGGATCGTGGCGATAGTATAAAGGCAGACTGCAATGTTTACACTAAAGAATTGTTTATAAGGAGGAATAATTTAATTCTATTATTTTCTTATAAAGAGCTTTGTCGAAGGCGTAAATATATATAATAATAATTAACAAGTAAGGAATCGCTAAGATCTGGTATATCTGAACATTTTTTACACTCAGAATTTCCAAAGATCAAAGGCGGGGAAATACTTCCAGGTGTTGGCAAAACTTTATATTAAAAATCAAACAGAGAATCAAAAATCAGTATATTAGCAATATGACGTTTAGACTAATTTCATTCATATTCAGCACTAAACCATATTATTTTTAAGAAAATGTGTCCACTAAATTCATAAAAATATCACACACATTGACCGACTTTAATTTTTTAAAATCAGGTTTCCAACTAAAATGGATAGAAATCGCTATATCGCGTACAATGGGGCTAGCTAGATGATCTGGACTGATTGACTTAATGTTTGGGAGAAGATGTTTTCACGCAGGTGAAAATAATTCACAGTGAACGACATATTGGACATAAAGTCAGTTAAACTAACGAAACATTACACGTAGGATAATACGATTATACGAATATAATACGATTTCCCACCAGTTATGGCACTTTATAGGTTTTCGTTTAACTAATTTTTATGGGTGTTCCAAAAGTCTGATTCCTCTTATCTTATGGGGCCAAGTAACATGTGTAGCAAGTTTCATTAGGATATCTCAATTTTTATCAAGTAATCGCTATCACGGACAGTCACCCAGATTTCAACTCGTATCGTCAATCTGATCATTTACCAACAAAGGCATTGGTATTATTAAATTATTATTATTTAAGTCTTATTTTTTATTTGAGGAATTAAAATCTTATACCCCTATAAAGGTTTGTAACTCCAATCAGTTGAATTGAAGTTAAAGCAATTCAACTTCAGATGAAACAAATTATATTTTGCTATTACGAACTTCAACTATTTTCAATCGAAGTTATATATATTATATATACAGATATATTCAATGATAAAAGTGCGCAAAGTGTGTTAAAAATAGTGCGATAACATTCATCAGTTTTACAATTTTTGGATTTTAAATACAAATATCTGGAAAACTTTTAGTCTGAGGCGGGTATATGCGTATATTTTTTTTAATTTGGAGAACATCTCCTATCCATCAGATCTCGGCACAAAAGAATTCGGAATTTCGCATTCGAATGTAACAGTTTGTATGAAAACTTATATTTTGTACGCCTGGGCTATAGTATAGCATCCCCCAAATTTATTAATAATAAGTCAAATTTAAGGAAGCTTTAATTACGATTTAAAACTATTTTTGCATTATTTATGATTAAATTAAATAGAAACTATTAAATTTTAGAATAACGTCCCCCGAATTCGGGTTTAAAATGGGTATGTATGGATAGATGAAGTTTTCCAGATTTAGTTGCCGCTGACTTATGATTTTTGAGATATTTTGCATTTAAAGTTCAAAAATTCAACTATTTAGAGTGCGTGTTTCTTCGATTTATAATGATTTTACACATGTTTTTATTTTGTACTAAATAGCTAACTTTAATTCAATATGTAACTTTTGGTTCATTCTTTTTATTCTAACAAATAATCAGTGTTACCTTATCTACACATTTTACAAAGAAACAAAAAATGCATATAGAAAACAGATAATTCCCTAATAGCAGGGAGTAAATAACACGTTATTGGTTTTTCGCGGAGAGTTCCTTTCGGCATTGGCGGCCTTTGGCCGCGTTTAAAAAAAACCCGTCCGGTCCAACACCGGTGTGTCTTCAATTCACTCGCGTAGAACTGCTTTTTGTGTTGATTGTTGTTATTGTAACGGTTACCTACCCGCTTGGGTGATAAGTTATAGTTTGGTTGTCGTCGAGGTCATCTAACGGGAGGCCCAGGAAACGAGCTGTTTCGACGGGGTCGGACCATAGAATAGAAAAATGGGTGTTAGATGAGTTGGGTTTGTTGGGCATTCAAGGAGATGGTTAGTATCATGCGGAGACTCATTGCACGCAGGACATATTCTTGGAATGTCTATTCTGGATAAGTAGGAGTTTAACCTCCTACAATATCCAGAACGAAGTTGCGCAAGTGTCACTCTGGTTTCGCGAGGAAACTCGAACTCTACGTCTGCTATGGGTGGTGGTTTGACTCCTAGTACGCCATTCACTGAGAGGGAGTCGATGAGTGAATGGCGGTCAGTGCGTGTCTACAGTTCGTTCCGTCCGAAGTCCGGTCGTCGTGCTGTTTGATGTCGTCGACGTAATCAAGGAAGGACCTCTTGATGTTCCTAGGAGGCGGTTCCGCTTCAAGCAGACGACTGCAGGGGTGATTTCTACGAAAACATCCTAGCAGAAACTGCTTGAAGAGGATCTCGTTATGTTCCTTAACCAGAAGCATACGGGCCTCACTATGCAGGTGTTCTATTGGGGACATCAAGAGGCATCCCGTGATAGACCGGAGTGTATTGTTTTGACAAGTCTGAAGCTTCTTCGTCTGCGTTGCACTTCATCCAGGCGACCATATTGGTGAAGCATAGGTTAGGACCGGCCTGCCGATTGCCTTGTATGTTGTCAGCAACGTTTCATTGCCCTTTTCCAAGAGCTGCCGGCAAGCAATTTGAGGATTTTGTTGCGGCTCTGTACTTTGGCAGTTATCGCGGTCGTGTGGGGAGTGAAGGAGCACATACTGTCTAATGTAACGCCTAAAATTTTAGGGTTGTTGACTGTCGGAATTTTTGTGCCATCGACTGAAATATAGGGACCCAGATGGTCGCTGTGGATTTAGTAGGTGCGAATGTCAGACTCCTTGCAGAGAAGAAGCGAGAAAAGTCGGAGAGATAGCTGTTTAATTTCGAGCACATGCCATCGATTCCATTGCCCGACGTCAATATCGTGCAGTCATCAGCGTACGAGGTCACGGAAATTCTTGTTGGTGGTTGGGAGAGTTTCGATGTAGAAATTAAACAGTAGTGGGGAGAGGACACCACCCTGCGGAACCCCCTGTTTAATTTTTCTAAGTTTGGAGTTTTGACCTCGAAACAGTACGGATGAATGCCGACCTCAGGGAGTTCATAGTCCTCTACTTCAGCTCTGAAGGGAGCGTGGATTGTTCTAGGTCCTCAAGTAGCGTTGTGTGATTGACTGTGCCAAAAGCTTTTGACAAGTTCAACGCTACGAGGATCGTCCTCCCGCAGGGTGGCTTCTGGTTTAGGTCATTAACTATCTGGGCGTTTATGACCCTAAGTGCTGTGCACTTTTCGGAAGCCATGCTGATGGTCTGCTAGATTCAGGAGGTGAGTGAATGTCGGGAGTAGCAAGGTCTAAAGTGTCTTCCCTACTGGGGAAAGGAGAGTTATATCGGACGATAAGACTCCCTTTGTTGGCGGGTTTCCCAGGCTTCGTTTGGCCTTGTCGGTTGTTGTTGTAGCAGCAGAATTCCGACCTTGTCGGAAGAAGTGTGCAATGTAAACTGCCGGCTAAAATAGCTCGCGCACTTCTTCGGATTAGAGGAGGCATGGCCATCGAATTGATTTTCAACCCGGTCGTCATATCTCCCAGTCCAAAGCTTACTCACAAAGGTGGAGAGATTGCAGGACTTCAGGTGCTCTATCCATTTTGTCCGCTAATGTTGATTTACCATTTGCCGAATCTCCAAATTGAGATCCCTTATTTGGGGATCACAGAGATCGGTATGGCGTAAGGTATCGCGCTCCTTTGCTAATAAAGCTGCTTCGGCTGGTAAATTAGGACGGAGTTCCGGCGGTATGAAGCGAGCAGCAGCGATCACCTTGTGGAAATGAAGCTCGCCAACGATGACATCCGTTGGAATGGGTAGTACGTTGAAGGTGCTCTTAGTAAATTCTGTGATGCCGACCCAGTTAGCTTTGTTAAAGTTAGAAAAGGTGCGGTTGTCCACAGAAATTAAGTCGGGAGGTTTCTCGATCGATATAATTATGGGCAGATGGTCTGATGCCAGAGTTAGCATATGTCGCCAGGTTATGCTATTTGTCAGACCACTGCTAGCGATAGTAATATCTGGCGAGCTATTACAGGTGCCCATAATTCTGGTGGGGCCTTCGTCATTCATTGTGCAGAACCTCAAATCGTCAATCTGTTCCGCCAGCTCCATCCCCCTATCGCTTGACAGGCAGGAGTGCCAAAGATCGTGGTGCGCGTTAAAGTCGCTTAGCACCAAACGGTTTTCACCACGAAGTAGCGCACCTATGTTCGGGTTCAAGGGTAGATGTCACCATCTCCCTACGGTCGATGTCACCACCGATTAGACAATATTGCACTGTGTTGTGCAGTATGAAGGCTAGGTCTCGACTACTATCTCGCACGCGATCCCTACGCAAAACGTTGAAACCTGCATAAGTCAGAAGATCTGAGCGGTTATTTAACTTGGTTTCTTGGACCGCAGCTATCGATACGCGTTCCCGGCTCATACATACAACTATTTCCTCGATCTTACTCTGGAGTCCGTTGAAGTTAAATTGTAGAATTCGCGTCGCGGGTGTACCGTTGTGATCCTAGGGGTGAGGGAGGTACGTGTAGGTTGTTTTTGCTGTAATATCCGCATGGGCGGTTGTCGCACTGTGGTATTGTTTGGCGCCCCCACTATATGGGATTGCGAGGACAGACTTCTACAGCACGGGGCAACATACGACGCACTCCACTCACGTGTGGTGCGCAGGTCGGAACACGACAGAAAGTGACACAAGCCAGTACAAGAATTGCACTTGAATGATGTGACGTTCAGGCGAATTGCCGTCTGACGCACTGAACAGACTGTGTGAGGAACCAGGAGTTGCTGAGTAGTTCGCGCACGAGGATTGAAGCGGGATGAAGGTGTCGGAGTTTGGTCAGACTGGGAGTCATGCTGCCTGTGTGAGCTCCTTAGGGCCGTGGAGGTCCTATCTTGGTCACTCGACTGGAGTGGCGGCGCAGTGCGCGAACATGGTGACATGGATACGGAGCAACCCTGCTGCTAGGCGTTGCTCTAATGACCACAAACTTAAACTAACACTTACCGATCCAAACAGGGTTAGACCGGCGAAATAACAGCCATTGGCCGGATAAAATCCAAGTCAATTCCGGTAACGTAGAATCGGCTGTTGTGGGAATTGCGGCTGTGTGACTGTTGTGTTGGTGGTCTTCGGCCGCGCTGAAAAAAAAAATAACCCTGGTCGGTCCAACAGCAGGGTGTCCTTATTTCTTTCGCGTAGAACTTATTTTTGCTTAAAAAAAATAACCCTGGTCGACTTATTAAAAAAAGAAAGGAAAGTTTCAAATTTTCAAAGATTTTGCATTACTCATCACACGATTTTTTTTTAATCGTTTGCAAAATATGGTAGCACTTATTTTTGGTTTGCATGCAACGATTTTGATATTGTATGAATAAATAGGTTTGAACGAAAGTTAAATATTAAAATATAGTTAGATTTGCATTATTTAATACAAAATTCTCTATACGCCAACACCAGTTGCTCTCCGAATTCGGGGGATGGGCACGATTTCGATTAATATGGCGGCGCGATCTGATGGTATGAACGGATAAAGTGGTTCTCAGGATTAAGAAATGTATGCACATATACCCGCCTCAGACTTCTAGTTTTTGAGATATTTGTATTTAAAGTTCAAAAATTGTAGAAGTAGTGCACGCTATTCACTATATTTAACACACTTTGCACATCTTTTTCAATTAATTTAATTATTGTGCGTTTTTTAAGAAAATAAATGTACTTTAAAAATGCCTTGGCGGTTCCGATCCTTCCAGTTGAAATAGTTGGTCACATCTCTCAATTGTGGCAAATGTATACTTTGAATACGCAAACATAAAACGCATACGCATATACAATTCCTTGACACAAGAGAGATAAGTAATATATTATTTCACGTCAAACTCCTTTTAGCACCAGGTGTAAATAGTTCTTTCGCATGGAACTCCTTTCGCATCGGCTTTGGTATACCATCCTACGATTTTAGGGTTAAAAGGAGAATCCATCTTATCAATTTTCAACTTAAAATGCAAATATCTCGAAAACTAAAATTTTTATATATATTCTTTAACTGGAGAATCTCCTCTATCCAACCATACCCCTCTTAACCCTGAAATCGTGGGATGGTATACTAAAGTTTCGCCAAAGACGTACTTTATATAGTTAAAATTTTCAACTTTCAACGTATATCCCTCGAAAACTAAAAATTTCCTGCGGTTATATCTATATATATTCTTGATCTGGAGTACTTCCTCTATCCACTCATATCCATTTTATCCCCTAAAGACTGGGACGGTATTCTAAAGTTTTCCCTTATCTTTGACTGTGAGTATGCTATACTAAAGTTGTAACTTTAACCCTAGTTGAAATCTTATACGTACATTTAAGCGAAATTGCTGTTCATATCCTTTTTCCCGTCTAATATATAGAGACTGTCCTTCTTGAAATGCTGTCTTATGAGCATGCTTTTTACCATCAATAACACGAGCTCCATCCGCAGGTCGCAGTGGTAAGACATCTATGGTACAATCTATGTATAAATTAAAATACTGAAAAAACTGTAACTGCACATTTAACTATACTAACCGAGAATTAAGGTCAGTTTCCCACAAAGGCAGTAGTATATATTTAATGGCTTTTCTTCATTATATTCTTCCTGATCTTTAGAATCAGAGCATACAATACTACGCGAAACAACTTTAGGCATTCTGAAACATTTAAATATTCATTTAGTTTCCGTAGATTTGGCAACAAAAATTCACAAAAACCGTGTTGCCCTTTATAGCATGGTATAAGCCATTGTATAAATCTACAAGTAACTAATCCTAAGATTTTCACTAATACACACGCAGAAATGTCCCACTTGGTACGGGTTGCCTCGAAAACTCTACTACTAAAATCACATTTGGTACGGGTTGGCTGCTTATATTCTACTGCTAAAACGCCCAAGTGCCACAAATCTGCTATAGTGTGTTGCCGTGTTAAGTTTTAAAATTTATAACTTTAAGAATGTTTTTATTACATATTCAAATATTTATATTTGTCATAATTCGCAAAGATTCAATTTACATAGTATTATTTAACTCATTATTTATTGTATTGAAATATTATTTAATGTTTCCAATTTTATCAAAAATATTACTGTGATCGGTAACGCGCCTATCTTGCAATCTCAGAGGTGGTGAGGAAAGGCAATAAATATATAAAACCCATTTGTTTCGATAATATTCTTGAAAGTTTTCATTATTATTTCCATTACGAATATATATTCATCAACAAATTGTTAAACTACATCCTTATATTTAAAACTCTGTGTCAAAAAAAGACATATTCAATCAGGTGATCACAGCTGTTTCACACACATAGGAAAACAGCTGATTCTTTGGTTACTTTTTAACATATACAATGTTTAAGTCGTTGTAGGCTTATACAATGGTATAAGGGAGTAGCGAAAGACCCATTCACAGCAGTTTCGCTACCTCTGAGGCGTACGTTCACAATAAAACCAACATGGCGGCCATGGTGAGTTAGGGTGGCGAGGGGTTAAAACGGGTTGCGTATAATTGAAAACGCCTTAATAATTCTTTATAAATATTTTAAATTTTGGTTATAGGATGATGTTTAATGCTAACAATATATGATATTATACCATGTTGATATAGGTNTTATTACTGTTACGCAATGCTCAATAGCAATACTGGCAACACATTTGAATTTATTAACAACTTTTTGTAAAACGGACGGACTTGTTTTTTGTTTTTGATAATTGTTTTAATATAATTATTTTATGTTTTTTTTTATAGAAATATTTCCTAACAACTTATTTTGGATCAACAGGTTAGTATTATTTTCTATAATTTGAATTAAAAGAATTTTCTCAGGGTTTTTATTAGATCTCCACAGTTGGTAATGCATGCACGTAAAATGTATTTATATAAGTATTATTGTAAAATGAATTTTTTTAATGTTTTTTTTTTAATTTATTTATTATATATAATTTTGTTATTTAGTTTTAATGTATATGGGTGAAAATAGGCCTCCTGGGGAACCGAACACCAAAAAAAATCGGTAACGCGCCTATTTGCATACCTCATGGTGGTGTGGAAAATGCGATATAGATATAAGGAATGGTATAAAAATCTAACGAAATAAAATATATAATATTTGGCATAGAAAAAATCCTGTTTTTATTTAAACAAAGTATTCATATTATCAGGTAAGATTTTTAAATTGTTTAAATGAATGCAAAGAGATGTTGCAAATGACGAAATTTCTCATTATTCAAACTTTTGTTGGTGGTGAGCACTATAATAGTGGCCACATATTAGCTTAGAAAACAATTAGATGCACACTAAAACATTTACTTTGATAAAAGCAATTTGATTGTAGGAGTATGGTAATTTACATATACGCAATTTTGTATCATTAACAACGTAATGTTTGTTTCTTTACATCGAAACATAATTTTTGCAATTTCACTTTCCAAATCGTTGTCATACATAAATCAGTTTCCAAATTGTATCTTATGTACGCAATCTAACGCATCAGGGCGTCTTTTAATAAAATTATATATGATGTAAATTTCATCCCAAAGACACCGAAACTTTTTATAACATCCTTCTAAAACGATATACCGATCATGCACATTATAGGCGGGTTAAGATAGGTTTATTATTTTCTACAGGTTTCCTCTGGAAATAAATTATTTTTGTTATTATTTATTATTACTTTATATGCACTAAAACACACCGCTTATTGATAAAAATTCTTGTGTGAGCAGTTTTATCAGGAGCATTATTATAAATTCATTATTTATTTACGAAGATTGTTTTGCAAATTTATAAACATTGCCCTTAGTTTCGTTGAATAAGCATTTTCTGCATCCAGTTATTTGACATGGTTGTTTAATTGCACCTTCCATATTTCTGTGGTGAATATTTATTAAGTTACCACAGTTAAAAAAAGGCATAACTATATATCGTAATTATTCTAGAATTGCCAATAATAGCCGCTCTTTTAAGAACATATATTAAAATAAACTGATTTTATTTTGAAAACATATTAAAGTTTTACATATAACCAATATTTTTTGGAGAACTTTTTTATAAATTAAAAGAAAATAGCAAGATGCAACCATTTTCCGGTTAAAAGTCGGCCATCTTGGCTGTCAATACAAAGTCATCCCCTAGGCGGACTTGACGTTTCTTCATGAACTCCTCTCAGCTGTAGTTATGTTTAGATCGATCATCTGATTCTTTCTCTACTCCCTTTTACGATGCTTTGTAGTAAGGTCATTCTGCATGCGTCAATCTAAGTTCTGTTAACAATTTGCAAATATCATTGTATAAATCTACAAGTAACCAATCCTAAGATTTTCACTAATACAAACGCAAAAATGTCCCACTTGGTACGGGTTGCCTACTTATATTCTACTACTAAAGTCACACGTGGTACGGGTTGCCAACCAATATTCTACTACTAAAACGTCCATATGACACAAATCTGCTATAGTGTGTTGCCGTGTTAAGTTTTAAAATTTATAACTTTAAGAATATTTTTATTATATATTCAAAAAATTTTCGGTTGCTTTAATTCGAAAAAGATTCAATTTACATAGTATTATTAAAATTATTTTTTATTGTATTGAAATATTATTGAATGTTTCCAATTTTATCAAAAATATTATTGTGATCGGTAACGCTCCTATCTTGTAAACTCAGAGGTGGTGAGGAAAAGGTCTTGAAGGGTTTCATTGTTATTTCCTTAACGAATATATGTTCATAAACAAATTGTTAAACTACATTCCTTTATTTAAAACTCCGTGTCAAAAAAAGGCATATTTGATCAGGTGATCACAGCTGTTTCACACACATAGGAAAACAGCTGATTCTTTGGTTACTTGAAGGCTTATATAATGGTAAATATACGAACTCAAAGTAAAATCTTTAAGAAACTCACATACCAATTTACACACATTACATTATTTTGATTAAATTACAATATCGATTTCCGATAAAATTGCTGCAAATTACGACTGCGTATGTTCACGACATTCTTTTTGTCGCCGAAACCGTTTTTACGAGGGGCGAAGAAGTAAGACGAAAGGACCATACCGCTCTGTGTTCTTCTTTGTAAGTAGCAGCTTACACACAGACTCTTTTGTAACCCAAACCGGTTTTTTGTTGGCGTGGGGACGACGAGGAAAACCGAAAGGACCGTGCCATTCGTGTTTCAAATTCTTTTAGTGGTTGCAAGAGCGCTCGGTTTCAAATGAATATATACCATTTCTTCTGAAATTTGAATTCAGTTATATATTTTATTCATGTAATATGCAAGTATGTATGCATAGAATAATAGAATTATTTTGAAAAATTTTAAATAAGGAGGAAATTAAGATACTCAAAAATATTCAATTTAAATTTTTAATAGCATATAGAGGTGTTGTAATAATATACGAGTTTTCATAAAAGAATTCTAATAAAAATGGTAACTTTACATTTTTATATTTACATAAAACATTAAGATGCTTTTATATTTATTCCGTTTAACCGCGAGGGTTTTAGTTCGAATATCATTTTATTGAAAACAAGAATTGTAATTAATTCAAGGATGTTTAAGATTAAATAAAAAAAAATACGGAATAAGAAAATGATGGATTTTAATACTTTCCAAACCATTAGGAAATTCCTGTTATAAATTTGGCCTTGAAAATATTAGTAGCGGCTATTCAATACATTCTGGTGGATTAAGAAATTCCCAACTTGAGTATTTCTTTAAAACCATTAAGCGGTATATTTCTTTTGTGCGTGTGTATGTCACTGAACTCCTCATAAACGGCGGAGGATGGTTTAGATTCACAATTTGATCAACTAGATAATGTTTTAACAATGTATTTATTTATTTTTTAAAATCTTGTTGATGTTAGAACGTTTTACATGGAATTCCGGCAGACTGCGCTGCAGTTGTGTCCGATATTCAAAAGTATATTTGAGTTGCAGTTGCGAATGGTAGATGGCGCTAAGATGATATTCTAAGATAGCATAATATAACTTCTTAAGATGGGCAGGGAGGGTAGTGAACTTTGTATTACGTAAAATTTTAAATTTAAAAATTCATCACTTTCGCGGCAAGAGTTGCCGTTATAGAATAGCGCCATCTGTACTTCATCTCTTTAACTTGATATTGAAACAGATAAAAATCTATTATTCTATTGTTATTTTCGTTGTCATCTTATACCAGAGAACGTTTATTATATATTATATTATATTATATTATATATTATAATATACGTTCTCTGCTTATACGTGGAGTGTGGTAATAGATACATCTTTTTAGTTAACACAGTTTCTTTATTTCACTTCATTCATACAGTATATGCATATTTACACACACAGTATATGCTCACATGCTACTGATGGGTCGAATTTGGATAGGTATACATGTAATGACGTTAGATATTAAAATAACTCTTGAATAATAATTTTCATCAAAACGGTCCAGATTGTTACAGGTTATTAAAGAATGTTTGAAATTTTCGAATTAACGACGTGTGTACAGGACAACGTCTGTCGGGTCTACTAGTATGTATGTAAGTATGTATGCAAATATAATAGAAATGCCTTAAAAATAATGTAAGGATAAAAAGTTGCTTATCAAAAGTATTTGTGTGTAGGCGTACAAGAATTTAAGAATGTGAGATGAAACAAAAGACACCAAAAGGGAATTTCTTGATAAAAAGAACACCAAAATAGTCACCTATTCAAATGCAAGTCGCCATCCTTCAAAGGGAACGTTTCACAGAAAAAGCGGCATGCCAGTCTCTGGTGAGTCAGAGTGCCGGTAGTTCATATTCACCAATATAGGTTGCACAAAACCAAAAGCACTATAGTTTTGTTTATAACTATTTGCTATTTTGATTATGGAATAATGTTTTTTGCTTTTAACAAATAATTAAATTATACAATCTCGATAGAGATAAATATGTGATTTATTTTTAAAGCGTTTTAATTAACTTCTTACACTATAAGGGCATACGAAGAAATGACTATTGCAACAGATTTTGGTATTACGAACGATAAAAATTAATTTGAACAATGAAATAATATGTATCGTTTTAAGGTATATATATAGATGGTCATAAAGCTGACTTTTCCTGTCATTCATTTATATTTTTTTAAATTTCATTGTTAAATATAGTCTGTGGACTTTATAAATATTTATTTGTATGTAGAATTTACAATATCGTCATAATATGTACAATGCGTTAGAATTATTTCTTTACCGAAAGTCAGTTTAAGATAAGCAAACGTAACTCTGTTACTCAATAGCAATAAAGTCATTGGGGGTAAGCGGGTGCAGGGGTTGGTCCCTGTGTACATACAAAGGACAAAGGGGATAAAATAACGGATACTTAACTTATTTACAAGATAACGATATTGTGTTGTACATTTACTTTTAAGTAAAAATAAATGAAATTCGGCGCTTCAACCAGAGAACTTTAAACAACGAGAAGGTGCAAATTGAATTTTGTATGATGCTCGATTGGTTGGCTGAAAAAATTGAGATCAAGGAGTTCACCATTTTCTGTAATATTTTCTGTTATTTAACTGAAATGAGATTTTATAACAACGTTCTCTGACAAATTACGTATCTCTCAATATAAAGAGAAAAATGAAGCGAAATGAATGAGAAAACAAAAAATATAAATGCCATTACACATATGCATGATTATTTTTTGCCATATAAACGATTTTTATGAAGAAAAATTGATAAAATATGATTTTTTTGCACAAATGCTACATTGATAAAATGTGAAAGATTATGCAAGAAAAGATATTTTACTATTTTCATAATTTTCTAATTTCAGATGTTACAGAATTAATAATTTATGTATGCACATATGTATGTACATCAATATGTTATATTATATAATATACTTGTAATAATATATTATCAATTATCAATAAAAACATGTGAGCGCACTGCTCTATATGAAAGTATGTATGTACAAATATGCGTATGACCGCGCAAAATAAGTAATGCATACACAAATCTACATACATTTAAGCGTACAAATGTAAGTACGTCAGTCAATAGGCAAAATACAATCATTGTACAAAAATAACAATTATCTCAAATAGCATCAGCACCAGAAATCAATATGGCAGCCAAATTGACAAATCCTAAATTTGTAGTAAATCACATACCAACAACATTTTCATTCTTGAACGCTGGCGCACAATCAATAAGCTAAGTCGTTTCATTCATAAAAGCAAACGCCTTACACATCTCCCCGAGCATGCGATTGCCCACAAGAGTCTTTTCGCGACGATGGCAAAAGCTAGATATCATAAATTGAACATCTTTCTCATGTTCCCTCTAGAAGGGAAAAGTGACAACCCTGCAAACACAGAAATCAATGACAAAAGTGGCAACAAAGCTTTTGTCGATTTAAAATATTACACAGTTCTAAAATATTTTTCCGTGGCTCGCAAAAATCTTCGTCAATATGTATGCATGTTCATATAAAAACATACATACCTAAGGGAAGCGATGACAATCGGCGAGCGTTCGTTTATTTTTCGGCACATCTCGGATTTTCTACCAACAACACAATGTTGTGACGCTTTGTCGTCGCGTCAGTCCTTCGACAGATTGACTCTTTGACATAAAAGCAACGGAGTTTTACATGAAGTAATGAATGTTCATTTCTACATACATATGTTGTTTGTAGACAAATTTACAAAATTTGTACACATATATGAAATGCCGACGGCAAAACACAATTCTGTACTTTTATGACTCCATAATGGTGTCAAGCACTTGAATTATTTTAAGAAATATATCAGAATATGTTTAAATTATTATTAATAACTCACAAGGAAGTAAAAATGAATTAACATAAAATAATTTTTAAATAATAATAAATAATAGTTCAATAAAAGGGAATATGTTTCAAATAGCATATCAATATTCCCAGTTTGGCATACATATTATATTCTCTTCAATATTCGCCGTTTGGTTTTGTTAAGAGAGCGTATGTTTACAGATTCACCGCTGTTATAAAAGCGAGAAATGTTATTTGTTTCTCGTGCATGTGAGGTGAACTCCTTGATAAAATCCTACAAGTTGTTCGCTGTCGAACCTGCACCTTCTCGTTGTTTTAAGTTCTCTGCTTCAACTATAGCTTTTGTCAACTTAACAAAGATCGAATCGACATTAATGATTATGTTTAATATAAGTAAAGTTATATGAGTATCTAACAAAAAATCGTTTGGGGGTAAGTGTGCGCATTCGCACAGGGAGCAATTGGTAGCATAAACAAAGAATAAAGGAGGAAGTTTTGAATATGAGCGCTGCCACGAATATTCTTCATAAAATGAATAAGAATATAATACAAATAAACTTAAGAGAAATTTAAAAATTTATTTTGAATTCAATTTAGTCCTTAGATTTTCTGTGATTTTTTAATTATAAGTTGATCTCTTATTACTTAGTTATCTAGTTTTTAAGATATTTCGATATGAAAAAGTTTATAGTTATTTAAAACCAAAGCGCATACTTACTCGACTTGTTACTTAACATAACTATTAGTTCAATAAATATTTTATTATATGCATGTGTTTTTTTGCCATTATTCTTTACTGTTTATTTTTTATACGATTTTAAACTTTTAAATGTACAAACTTGGCTCGCTTCTTCGCTTTCACATGTACGAGTACATAACACATCGTTCAGCTGTCATTGGTCAGACACCATACCAGTACCAATCACAATGTATACGATGGCAAAAGCTAGATATCATAAATTGAACATCTTTCTCATGTCCCTCTAGAAGGGAAAAGTGACAACCCTGCAAACACAGAAATCAATGACAAAAGTGGCAACAAAGCTTTTGTCGATTTAAAATATTACACAGTTCTAAAATATTTTTCCGTGGCTCGCAAAAATCTTCGTCAATATGTATGCATGTTCATATAAAAACATACATACCTAAGGGAAGCGATGACAATCGGCGAGCGTTCGTTTATTTTTCGGCACATCTCGGATTTTCTACCAACAACACAATGTTGTGACGCTTTGTCGTCGCGTCAGTCCTTCGACAGATTGACTCTTTGACATAAAAGCAACGGAGTTTTACATGAAGTAATGAATGTTCATTTCTACATACATATGTTGTTTGTAGACAAATTTACAAATATTTTTACACATGATATGAAATGCCGACGGCAAAACACAATTCTGTACTTTTATGACTCCATAATGGTCAATCAGCTGTCATTGGTCAGACACCATACCAGTACCAATCACAATGTATTACAGTGTTTTTAACAATGAATGAGAAATCGATGTTTTTAACCATGCCTTAAATGAAAAATAAAAAGAAAGAATGCATTAGATGAAAATTAACTTATAAGCAATTTCTATTTGCATTCTACTGATATTTAACATACTCTCTGCTGAAGTATTAATGCAGCGTGTTCAATGCATACGGAAAATTATAACGTGTTATATATGTATATACACGTATAGCTGTATTCCGAGTTTATTATTAAAAATGTAAAAAGTGTGAAGTGAAAAGGAAGTCTGAAAAACATGAGGCTTTGAAGAAAAATTATAAAAATAATAAAAAAAATATAAGTTAATAGAGAAAAAAATACAAATAAGTTTCGGGTTTTAAGAGACATACCTGTGTGACTATAGACAGATTTATTTTGAGTAGTGCACTGCTACCCGCGATATATTGTGTCCTCTCCTGTTATTACAATACTTCATTTAACGCAGTCAATTCGAAAAGGCTTAGTAAAGCTCCTGAGTTAAATTTAAGTACTTGTAATAACAGGAGCGAGGACACAATATATCGCAGCGCACTTACTCAAAATAAATCTGTCTATAGTCACACAGTATGCATCTTCTTAAAACCCGGGAAACTTATTTGTATTTTTTTTTCTCTATTAAACCTTATATTTTTTTTATTATTTTATTAAATTATTTCTTCAAAGCCTTCATTGTTTTTGCAGGACTTCCTTTTCCACTTCACACTTTTGGTACATCTTTTAATAATAAACTCGGGAATACAGCGTATACGTGTATTATACCATATATAACACGTTATAATTTTCCGTATCATATGACACCGCTGCATTAATACTTCAAGCAGAGGAGTATGTTAATATCAGTTAGAATGCAAATAGAAATTGGCTTATAAGTTAATTTTCATCTAGTCATTCTTTCTTTTTTATTTTTCATTTAAATGTATTACAGTGTTTTTAACAATGAATGAGAAATCGATGTTTTTAACCATGCCTTAAATGAAAAATAAAAAGAAAGAATGCATTAGATGAAAATTAACTTATAAGCAATTTCTATTTGCATTCTACTGATATTTAACATACTCTCTGCTGAAGTATTAATGCAGCGTGTTCAATGCATACGGAAAATTATAACGTGTTATATATGTATATACACGTATAGCTGTATTCCGAGTTTATTATTAAAAATGTAAAAAGTGTGAAGTGAAAAGGAAGTCTGAAAAACATGAGGCTTTGAAGAAAAATTATAAAAATAATAAAAAAAATATAAGTTAATAGAGAAAAAAATACAAATAAGTTTCGGGTTTTAAGAGACATACCTGTGTGACTATAGACAGATTTATTTTGAGTAGTGCACTGCGATATATTGTGTCCTCTCCTGTTATTACAATACTTCATTTAACGCAGTCAATTCGAAAAGGCTTAGTAAAGCTCCTGAGTTAATGGTTGTAATGTGTTCTCTCACCGTATTTATTTGCCCGATAGCCTGACTCCTTCTTCTTGCGATTGCGTCGTAATCTAGAGACACGGATGCGTGGAACAGGTACCCTTATCTGTATAGATGATACCGCAGTCTGCAGTGACCTGTATAAAATTCCACAAGCTACCTTAATTTGTTTCTGGGAAGACTGATAAATTTCTTGAACAGCTTGAAAAATGTTTGGAATCCTTCTCATGGGCACTGATAGTTTGGTCCACCTTACGATGGGTGGATCAACTTGCCTCCATTCCAGTACTCAGGTCAGACTGCAGTGGGAAGTGTAGTCAAAAGGTTCTATGTCAAGATAAGCTCTGTTAAGGAGTCTGCGTACCGATTTCCTTGGTGTCGAAAGTTTGTTCGACCACCAAAGATTTCTGTTTTTTTTGCTTGGGAGCAGTCAAAAGACAGCCATGGATGCCATCCAGGATGATGTCTTCTATCACCTCTGCTCTGCCTTCAATCCCCGTACAATTGTTTTCATAACAGTACTGCGTTAACTTTATTGTACAATATTTAACGCGAGGATTTCCCTGTACTTGTCTCAATCGGTATTTCATGGATTGTGTCTAGAGAGGCAAGTCTCGATATCTCCTCCCACTATAAAGAGAATGATATTATCTGACTGTGAAGGTTCCGTCGATTCCATCCATGAATATCCTAAATTACCTTTTCGTGTTTTTCTGTGAGGCTTTTGACTTCCCTTTTAAACGCCAATGGGTCCTGAATCAGGAGAGCTCTCAGGTTATCCAAAATGAACCTGTTTGAGATAACTGCCGAATGTGTCATTGCTCTATGCAAGTTCACCTGGGCTACAGCCATGTGGGTATCAGAGAACTGCAAAGAGTAATACATTTTTGTTCATACTCGAGCATTGAACCGTTACTCTAGCGGATTCCGTCAGTTTTATTCATATACACGAATAATTTTTACTTACTTTTTATTTTATGTTATTCAAAAAAAATTAAACATTGAGGGAGTCGAAAATTATTGTTACGTTGTGTTTATTAGTTTTTAATATAAAATGCATGGACAAAGAAAAATATGTATTTTATGCTTTCTCTTTTATTTTAGTTGTTTTATTAAAATAGTTTTTTAATAAATATGTGTTAAGTTCTTTCGGCTTCAAATCTATACTGACACAGATGTTTTACGCATCGAAACATGCGCTCTTACCCAAAGTTCATATATTTTTACTCGAGCATGCCTCACATGATTTAAATCAACCCTACATTACTGAAGTAAATTTGCTTGTACTCGTGGCTTACCCGTAGGTATACACTTGTTCAATAGCTGTCTGGTGGGTATCTGTTACAGAAATGAATCCTCTTGAGATTATAGCACTAAACCTAAAGTTCAGGCGATATCCCTGTTGGCGGATTTACTTGAGGGACTGATCGTCAATATCAACGTTCAGCCTTAAACCTGCATCTTCGTCACTGCTGTTAATGACTCTGAATAAGCATAAAAAAATCAAATTGACCAAGTTATTTCTCTTCGAAGGCTGTAACTATGAAAACATTACGAAATAGCTTATTATTAAAGGCAGCATAACTTCTGGAATTCTGTGGTTCCTAGTGAACAACACTAGCTCTGTCTTGCTAGCATTTAGATATAGTCCGCACGATACCGCCCATCGATTTATGTGGTTTAATATTGCTTTCATAAGGTTAGCGATGGCATTTTGGAATTTAAATCTAATAAAATCCCCCACATCATCAGCGTAGGTCAGAATATGTACTCCCCTCTTTTCTAAATCTAAAAACATTTTATTCATTGTTAAGATCCAGAGAAGTAGAGATAACACGCCTCCTTAAGGTGTACTTCTTTTGACAGCATTGAAATTATGACCTGCACATAAGCATCTGTTCAATCATTTTCACGAGAGACTCAGAGATGCTCAGATCTTTAAAAGCGCTCATTGTAGCGTTAGGCTTTATGTAATTGAAAGCGCCTTCTATGTCAAGGAAGGTTACGAGGGCGTATTCTTTTACCTATATGTTGCGAAACTGCCAGTTATTTGGAGTTATTTTGTTCCTACTGTGTAATTCTATTAATTTTTCCAACTTTTTTAAAAGGCAGGAGGAAAGATTAATTTGTATGAAATTCTTTGGACTTGTATATATTACCTTGGCTTTCCTCCCTAACGAGGGGGTATAACTGCAGCGCCCCTTTGAGAATTATTGCCAACCAGACTAGCAGTTCTTGTTTCGCCGGGAATATACCGTCAGATTCCAGCGGTTAGAAGGGCTTGAAACTGCTTATCGCCCTGTATGCTTTATAATACTATATCACAGGAATGGAATCTATCTCTACTTCGTGTCTTGTGTGTACTCAACAGCATGGGTTTTTGAGCTGTCTGGGAAGTGAGCATCCATTATTAGGCCTAAGGAATCTTCACTTCGTCCAACTGTGGTCTGTCTTCCGAAGGTACCCAATGTTATGCACCGACTATGTTATTATTTTTCTTAGCTGAGACGATTCTGCCGTAGTCTCGATATCATTACAGAAATATTTCAAAGATTTATTTCTGCTTTCCTTATATCTTTTTTATATGAAGGTTACCCCCTCTAATTTGGATAGTTTAGCTACATTTAATTGCTTTCTGTAATATTTCTGTAATTTTTTAAGTTTGGGAGACCATCATGAGTGCCATTTCTTCCTTTACTACGTGTTATTCGACAAGCAACTTCTAATTTTTGTCGGCAAAATTCCGTGAACCGTCAATTCGTTGTCTTATGACTCCTGAAATTGTTGACTTTGACTACAATTTCTTCAATTATATGTACCACCTCTTTTAATGTTCTAATCACGGTTACCGTTTTGGTCTATTTTTTTCTCTTGAGCCATTGGTCCATCACTTTGTGAAATGGTCCATTTTGAATGCAATGCTTTAGGAAATTTTCTTTGTCCAATAAATGAACAGGGGTTTTCATTATCGCCACAATCACATTCAGTGGTAGTGTTGCTAAATAGTTTTCAATTTATCGTGTCAGTGAAGATTTAATTTCAAAATTAAGATTTTTTATAAAAAATATCATTAAAATCTTAAATTGATGATATTAAAACGAAATCAAAATTTCATTTATAAAATCTTCATTATCAAGATATCTGGTAATATGATAGATATAATAGAAGATTTATCTTCTAAAATTTGTTTAATTTTTGAAGATTTACAACACATATGCATGATTATTTTTTGCCATATAAACGATTTTTATGAAGAAAAATTGATAAAATATGATTTTTTTGCACAAATGCTACATTGATAAAATGTGAAAGATTATGCAAGAAAAGAATTTTACTATTTTCATAATTTCTAATTTCAGATGTTACAGAATTAATAAATTTTATGTATGCAACATATGTATGTACATCAATATGTTATATTATATAAATATACTTGTAATAAGTTATTATTCCAATTATCAATAAAAACATGTGAGCGCACTAGCTCTATATGAAAAGTATGTATGTACCAAATATGCGTATGACGCGCCAAAAATAAGTAATGCATACACCAAATCTACATACTTTAAGCGTACAAATGAAGTTACGTCAGGCAATAGGCCAAAATACAATCATGTACAAAAATAACAATTATCTCAAATAGCATCAGCACCAGAAATCAATATGGCAGCCAAATTGACAAAGAATGAAAATGTTGTTGGTATGTGATTTACTACAAATTTAGGATTTGTCAATTTGGCTGCCATATTGATTTCTGGTGCTGATGCTATTTGAGATAATTGTTATTTTTGTACAATGATTGTATTTTGCCTATTGACTGACGTACTTACATTTGTACGCTTAAATGTATGTAGATTTGTGTATGCATTACTTATTTTGCGCGGTCATACGCATATTTGTACATACATACTTTCATATAGAGCAGTGCGCTCACATGTTTTTATTGATAATTGATAATATATTATTACAAGTATATTATATAATATAACATATTGATGTACATACATATGTGCATACATAAATTATTAATTCTGTAACATCTGAAATTAGAAAATTATGAAAATAGTAAAATATCTTTTCTTGCATAATCTTTCACATTTTATCAATGTAGCATTTGTGCAAAAAAATCATATTTTATCAATTTTTCTTCATAAAAATCGTTTATATGGCAAAAAATAATCATGCATATAAGTCTGAAAACGTGAGCTTTGAAAAATTAAAAATATAAATTAATGAAAAATACCGCAAATGAGTTTCAGGTTTAAAGAGACATACCAGATATTCGATAATGAACAGATTTTATAAATGAAATTTTTGATTTCGTTTTTAATATCATCAATTTAAGATTTTAATGATATATTATAAAAATTCACTTTATTACAATGCTTCATTAACGCAGTCAATTCGAAAACCATTTAGCAACACTAAACTCCTGGGTTAATGTGATTGTATGATAATGAAACCCTCACCGTATTTATTTATTGGACAAAGAAAATTTCCTAAAGACATTCTTCTTGCGTCGTAATCACAAAGTGATGGACCAATGGCTCTAAGAGAAAAATAGGTACCCTTATCTGCAACCAGATGATTAGAACATTAAAAGAGGTGGAAAATATAATTGAAGAAATTGTAGTCAAAGTCAACAATTTCAGGAGTCATAAGACAACGAATTGACGGTTCACGGAATTTTGCCGACAAAAATTAGAAGTTGCTTGTCGAATAACACGTAGTAAAGGAAGAAATGGCACTCATGATGGTCTCCCAAACTTAAAAAATTACAGAAATATTACAGAAAGCAATTAAATGTAGCTAAACTATCCAAATTAGAGGGGGTAACCTTCATATAAAAAAGATATAAGGAAAGCAGAAATAAATCTTTGAAATATTTCTGTAATGATATCGAGACTACGGCAGAATCGTCTCAGCTAAGAAAAATAATAACATAGTCGGTGCATAACATTGGGTACCTTCGGAAGACAGACCACAGTTGGACGAAGTGAAGATTCCTTAGGCCTAATAATGGATGCTCACTTCCCAGACAGCTCAAAAACCCATGCTGTTGAGTACACACAAGACACGAAGTAGAGATAGATTCCATTCCTGTGATATAGTATTATAAAGCATACAGGGCGATAAGCAGTTTCAAGCCCTTCTAACCGCTGGAATCTGACGGTATATTCCCGGCGAAACAAGAACTGCTAGTCTGGTTGGCAATAATTCTCAAAGGGGCGCTGCAGTTATACCCCCTCGTTAGGGAGGAAAGCCAAGGTAATATATACAAGTCCAAAGAATTTCATACAAATTAATCTTTCCTCCTGCCTTTTAAAAAAGTTGGAAAAATTAATAGAATTACACAGTAGGAACAAAATAACTCCAAATAACTGGCAGTTTCGCAACATATAGGTAAAAGAATACGCCCTCGTAACCTTCCTTGACATAGAAGGCGCTTTCAATTACATAAAGCCTAACGCTACAATGAGCGCTTTTAAAGATCTGAGCATCTCTGAGTCTCTCGTGAAAATGATTGAACAGATGCTTATGTGCAGGTCATAATTTCAATGCTGTCAAAAGAAGTACACCTTAAGGAGGCGTGTTATCTCTACTTCTCTGGATCTTAACAATGAATAAAATGTTTTTAGATTTAGAAAAGAGGGGAGTACATATTCTGACCTACGCTGATGATGTGGGGGATTTTATTAGATTTAAATTCCAAAATGCCATCGCTAACCTTATGAAAGCAATATTAAACCACATAAATCGATGGGCGGTATCGTGCGGACTATATCTAAATGCTAGCAAGACAGAGCTAGTGTTGTTCACTAGGAACCACAGAATTCCAGAAGTTATGCTGCCTTTAATAATAAGCT